CATTTGTTATCAAAGTCGCGACGCTTGATGCAGGCGGAAAACGAGGAGGAGCATGAAGCCGCTCGGCGAAGGCTGCACCGTGCACTTCAGGTTCGTGTTTTCTTTTCATTCTACAGTTGGTCTCAATAAAGAAACTCACTTCCGGATATAAGATAATTTTAGGTGAGAATCTATTCCTGTGGTGGGGAATAGTTATCGAGGATGCATAGAAGCAGATAAACGTCACCAGACCAATATTTTAGCGGCCGTGACTTGACGTGCGAGAAATTTGTTTAGTGTATCTATAATCTTCCACAACTATTCTTCTCGCTTCTGTCAGCTTGGCCACATCGTCAAGGAAACGTTTCGTAACATCGTCATGGATGTGACAACCCACCATAAGCCAACGATAAAGGGTTTATCCAAGAGGGATGAGCTCATGTGTTTCCGGGCAGTATTCGATCAATTCCGGACGCATTGCTTCACAATTCAGCAGGCAAGTTGATTTAGTGATGCGTTCATTACTAGCCAATGCATTCACCCACGGCGTCTTGTAAGGCAAGCCTCAGTCTCAAGATTACTCTTAGTTAAACGTCCAGCAAATGAACTTTCGGGGCAAATGTGGTACTCCGACACTAGCACCTTCGTTCTTTTCGTGAATTTGGACGTTCATGCCGCAACACGGTGTTCGTTAGTTCAACATTTTGTAAGGTATTCTCCGTCATAACCCGTTATCACTTGGGCGACTGATGGAAGGTGGAAAATGGTGCAGATAAATCGGTTCAGTTCTGTTGTGTTCAGTTCAGTTCGGTTCAGTTCAGTTCAGCTCAGCTCAGTTCAGTTCAGTTCGGTTCGGTTCTGTCAGCAATCGGTCCGTGTGTTCAAAGCTGCTAAGGAATTTTGTGAAGCATGATCTGGTCTGCAAATCTGGCTGAAATCGTTATTTTTGTTAGTCAAAAACGCACAATTTCAAGGAACATTTACCGAACAAATGGATGGCCAATCGACAGAAAGCTGGAACAATTTGCGCGGTAAAACTGTAGAAAGACGAGCCCAAGATGGTGCCCATGACTAGTGAACTCGGGTCAGTTCAGGCGAATATCTCCGGTTTACTCTGAGTGTGTATCCTGGTTTCAATGTTTTGATAACCTCTGATGATTCTGTATACGGTGGTATAAATGCCGCTCTTTAAATCAAAGAGACCAGCCCCTTTTTAACAAAACTCGTTTGATTCTACCTGCAAGTAGTTTGCTTGAAAGGCGACGGATGTCCAGCGCTGGGGTTCGACCCTCTGGACTACCGGTATTCCGCCCTTCCACACTGTTTCCTTAGAGGGGGACTTCTGTAATACTCTCACTATTTAGAATTAAATAAAAGACAAACATGCAGCAACGCACTTCAGCAACGTTACACCTGTCCGAAAAGCGCAACATACCGTTCTTGATTCCAAGAATCCTCCAATCTCACCAGTAACGGCATTGCAACATTGCTAGTTCTCTCCGCTTTTGTTATGAAGTGTATCATTTGCCTTTTTCAAACTAACGAGGGCTTATTGACGGAAGTTGCTTTTGGTCAGTTGATATCCACTCTCCCCATACTGAGCAATCGATCGCGTAAATAGCACGATTATTCACTGTTGAATCACCTGTTCCGTTCGTGGATATTTTGCCGGCGCACACAGTTTCTCCGCAATTGAGTGTTCACCGGAGAACCCTTGTCTCTTCAAACACGCCCGACTTAAGACTACACATCAACGACGAAATTGATGATCACTGTTGTCACACGACAGTAAGTGGGAACATGAGCGAATCTAAAGTAGTTGTTGGTTCAAAGGTGTGCTCAACATGTAGGGTCCTCAGTGTTCCTTCTTCGTGGTAAACCTTTTGTTTCCGCGGTGATCATAATTTTCTAGCTTAGATCCCCTTATCAATATGTCTTCAGGTCCCCGAGATTGCTCACCATACAACTCACCTCATGGAGCTTTGCAAAGCCGGATACGACGCTGAAACCCTCATCGACTCTGTCCACAACGTCTGTTCCTAACGGACACGCAGGGGGTTGCGTGATTTTGCCAAAATAAAGTGAATTTCAAATTGTCCTTCTCTAGTTCTACCATCGCCACAAAACATGGGTTGTGTTTTTCGATCAAACTAGCCGTCCGGAAATCGTCCGGTAAAAATTGGACCAATTTAATTAACACCGTCGGTATTCTCAGGACTCGTGGACGTATCAAAACGCCTTCATGAATCTGACATACTATCCCACAGTAGATGCACAGGCCAGTTAGGAACATGATGCTTGTTTTGTTAGACTCATCTGCTTATCTATGGTTATGCGTGTAAGACGGGACGCAACCGACCCCAAGCCACGGGTATCTTGTCCAAGACCATTGTCCAGTTAATCCAGAGAAGATTTACTAAATGCACCACATGCAGGTTACCACACAGAAATAACACAACGTCGAGAACGATTACTAGGGGCGGAAGAATATCTGCTTTGAAACTGACCAATAACATGCCAAGAGACACAACAGGCCGGTTGGCCAAACGGTTGACATGCAACAAAAATTTCGAAACTATTCTTGAAACCTCCTGAAACGCATAAAATTGCAGAAAACTCTTCAACAACCACTACGGTTCTCCCCTTCCTGAGTTTCATTCGATAGACGTGCAATTTGGCGTTCAACTAAAACAAGGCTGATAGAAAATGAAAGACGAATAAATTAAGGACGAATCAATGCCACCGAGTAGATGCGGTGTGACAGTTGATTTACACGTTACGCAGATGTCTATCATGGGACTAACAAAATCATTCCGTACTGGACAGTGCCTCCGCAGTTGACTAGACATGTCAATCCGCAGACCGCCACGGAAGTTTTTATGTGAAATGTGGCACAAAATATACAAAACATTCTACACCGCACTGAACTAGATGCTTTTTGGGGTCAGGTAATATCCCCTATAATGGAAGCTTACCTCTATGTAACACCAGCGCGAAATGCGCCAACATTCGCCAGTTGGTAAACAGTTCTACTGACTGCAAGGAATTGGCGATACGCAAGTCAAGAAGCATGGATTTCCCTCCCGGTAACTTTTCGTCGTGTGACATTTGGGTGGTCAGCTATCTTGTCCGTTTGCAGTGGAGGGAATTTGTTCCATCCGGGCAATTCACTGGCACCCCACGGCATACAAAACATCAGAGAGTGAACAAACATACAATACCCCAACTCACACGCCAATCTGATTACTTCGGTTACAGGTTATCGCAGCTGATGGCACTCTTCAACTACACCACATTTTTAGAGAAATGTCGAAGTAAAACAAAAGGATTGATACCGTTTTATCAAATTGCTATTCCAAATCATATGCCTGGTTTCAGAAAGAACTCACCGATAAGGGTACAGAACATATTCATTCCAAACAAGTGGTTGCGTGCGAGTGCAAAAGTTTCAACGGCCCCGCGCTATTTAAAGGGCCCTTCCGGGCATTGATCCAGGCAGTCTGATAAGCGTTGGGTGAACACTCATCAACATCGATCGTGCTTCTGTGAAATGCCTGAACACCAATCATATTCGGTTGCGCTTCTGTGGCGTGCATGAACGCTCATTGGCTGTTGCCAAATTGATTGAATGATTGACTGGCCTGGATGCTTGCCGGCTTTCCTATTCAGATTTTGGCGCAGTTTTAGTGTCTCATTGGGTTTCGACCATCCTAGGGTTATCGTCAGGAATCGGACCTACCTGATAGATAGAAATACTCTCATTCGCACAGTAACTACGTCTTAACGAGGGTCTCAACTGATAAATCTTCCGTGCATATCGGTCTCTTTCATCTGGATTGTAAATTATAATAAGTTTCAGAATTCTGTTCAATGACGAGTTGGTTCATTCCTCTCGGTGTGTCGTTAACGTTGCCGCTCCCGAGGAGAACACCGTATGCAGGAGTATGATATTTGACCCAATCGAAATTCCCGGAACGAGCTAAATCTGAATTGGCATTTTGTTTCCCTAAGCTGCAGTTTAACCAACGTAGATGGCGTCGTTCGCTTAACATGTCATATGTTGCCCGGACTGAACATGCTACGAAAATGACAAGACCGAATCACGCACCTCGGACCCCTCACCCAAATTTTGAGATTTGCAACTGCAATAACGGCTGAACTGTCAGATGCGACCGGTTGCACTGGAAGCGTTGTCACTAAAGTGTTCGAGCAGTGGTTGAGGGCGAACGTACCGGTCGGAGAGTCCGCAGTTCGGCCCAATCCTGACATTTCGACTGCTCCCGGGCAGTACCTCATTCCTCGTAATTCTTTGGGCGGCAGGGTACAACAACTGAAGGGCTATTTTATATTTCTCATTTTTATTACACATAAACTTCCGGAGTTATATCGAATAGTGCAAAAATTATGAAGGCGTGTTCTTCACGTAGCCGAACGAATTATAATGGCCTTATACCATTTATATAGCCATTTACCATGGTTGTACTACTGACACCCATAACCTTGGTTGCCAAGGAAATATTAAACTGATTGCAGGCACGTTACTTCGTCATCATTGACTAGGGATTGTGGACTCGGGATATACATCAGAATTGTGTCTCTTTTGGACAGAGGAAGATTTCAGGTTCTGGTCATGCTCACTTCGGATAGTCCCACAAATAGTGACGTTATCGATGTAAGCGTAGATGCCAATAAAGTTCTCAGGCTTGATTCTTTGATCAATAGGACGTCTAAAGCATGCTACTCTGAGATGAGAACGACGGAACTGAAACAGT